ACGTGCAGTCTCAGAAACCCATAGGAACAAGTCTACTCCATTCTGTAGGCTCTGTATGAGTCTGAATCCACTTGATGGCAGTGAATTTGTGTCATTTTTTTAAGTTAGCAATTTCCCCAAACATTAGCAAACTAGTTTCTATGAGAAACTCACCAACAGTTAATTGGATTGTTCCGGCTCAGAGACTTGCATAAGGTTTCAATCAAGATACTGGCCAGAGCTGCCCTCATCTGAAGGCTTGAATAGGCTGGTGAATGGTCACTTATATAACTGGTAAGTTGATCCTGGCTCCCGGCTACTGGAAGAGGTCTCCATTCCTTATACTATGTTGCCAGGAAGCCTTACTTACGTCCCCTGGTCGCGGTCACCCAAGAGTATCTTCACAATGTACTTGGCTTCCCCCTGAAGGAGTAATCTAAGAGAAAGAAAGATGGAAGGCAAAATGTATTCAAAGTCCAACTTCCCAACATCAGAAGTCACACCCACCATTCCCTTTTGGTTACACCATGAATCCGATTCGGTGTGGGAGAGGACTACACAGGACATGGAACTCCAGATGCAACAAGGGTGGGGTCATTGAGCTCTTCTTGGAAGATACCACATTGTATTGGAAGATTTCTAATATGTTCATTTTCAACTTTAGAATGAAGACTTACACCTCATTCTAATACAAGTTAGAGTCTCACCCAAGAGATATTTTCTTTAAGTATTTTATATAATTCAAGCCCTTCAGCCACTTTTTAAAAAATTCTACGGAGATGTCTGAGTCCACAAACATTCATAAATGTGTAATCAGACAGTAAATGGAAGCTAGAGCAATTCTAAAATGAAGAGGAACCTCATCACATTTGCTAAAGAAGGAGGATTTTGAAGCTATGCCATTTGTTTGAATCAATGAACAAAATTGTCTCAAATATGTCCTCTGAAAAGCATCCAAGTGAAGGGAATTTCCATTAGCCAACACGCCAGTTAAAATAATTCCCTAATTTTTGAAGTGACTTAAAAGAGCAGCATACATTTTCCTCCTTATATTTCAGGATATTAAAAGACACAAGGAGCAGACAGAAAAGTTCAGATGGTGTTTACTTGGACTTCCATGTGCTACATAAGCACTCAATAACTAGTTCCATTTGTGTAATGTTGACTTTCATTAATTCTTCTTGGCTACATTGCACTTGATCAAGCCCCACCAGGCATCCCATGCCCTCCTCACCATAGACTTTAGATCTTTTGTTCACTGTTCCCTGGGTTTGTTAGCTCCCCCCTTCCTTTGCCCTGCCTTCCCATGTCCCATGTCCCCCTGTATTTTCCCCTCCGGATAGTTTATCACGCCTATCTTATCTAGATAGACATGCAAAAACAATAATAGACACCAAAGCAAAGCGAAGCAAAACATCAAAAAACAAGCAAAAACAACACCAAAAAGAAAACCTATAAATAGTTCCAAGTCTGTTTGTAGACCTTTAAGAGTGTTTTCCAGTCCAGTTTGTTGAGGTGCCACACCCTGCTCCCAACGTCTATTTTTGGGGACTCCTTGGAGACTTCATTGCTTTGTTCTCCTTGCTGCTCTGTTGCACGCTCTTAATCTTTCGCCCTGGCGTGGTGGGATCAAATCGGGCACAATTCCCTCACTGTGTCTCCAGTGTTGAACCCTGTAGCTGTATAGATCAGTGAGGGACAGCATGTCTTTTTTCTTTGTTTTTCAGTAAAACAGCAAGTCTTTTATTGCTGAAATAACTACAGTTATGTTCTATCAGTGTAGAGTAGGGCAATTTTTACCTCAACTGGTTGAGCACCATGGATAATGCTTCTGTGCTCCATGCAAGATCTTCCCTTAGCCTGCAGCTCCCTATGATGGCCTTGATTTCCTCCACTGTCCTGCTTAGTTCTGAACCTGCTGTTCGCACCTCTCTTGTCCCACCCTCTGTCTTCACTAGTCGGCCTTCCAATAACCCTTAAGGCTTTTCTTTTCTTTTTTCTTTTTTTTTTATTAAATACTTTTACTTGGGGCTCCGACATCTCCCATCATAATCCATGCATTCATCCATTGTGTCAAGCACATTTGCACATATGATGCCATCATCATTTTCTACTTGAGCCCTTGATATCAGTGCCTCATTTTTCCTCCTCCCTTTCCCTGCCCTCACTCCCTCATGAACCCTTGATAAGTTATAGATTATTATTTTTATATCTTACATCATCCTTTGTCACCCTTCACCCACTTTTCCATTGTTCATCCCCCTGGGAGGGGGCTATATGTTGATTCTTGTGATCGATTTCCCCTTTCACCCCTCACCTTCCCCTTATCCTCCTGGTATCTCTATTCTCATTGTTGGTTCTGAGGGGTTTATCTATCCTGGATTCCCCTTGTTTCAGGCTCTTATCTGTAGCAGTGTGCATGTTCTGGCCTAATCTGATTTGTAATATACAATTGGGGTCATGATAGTGGGGAAGGAAGCATTAAAGAACTAGAGGAAAGTTGTGTGTTTTATCAGTGCTATACTGCACCCTGGCTGGCTCATCTCTTCCTTGTGAACCTTCTATGAGGGGATGTCCAATTGTCTACAGATGGACTTTGGATCTCCACTCCACACCCCACACATCCATCCCTGGGACCTCAGGTCTTGTGGTGGGGCCAGCCCTATGGTCCTCTCTGTGCCTTGGAGGCTCTGAGTCAGAATATTGTCCTCGAGATCTGGTGGGTCAGGAGTGTTCCACTCTCTCTTTCTATCTCCTTCCTTCTTAGTTTGCTCCTGTGTGTTCTGATCAGACACAACCCTCTCCCCTAGCTGTAGCTTCAGTGCTGCCCTTTGTAGCAAAATCTCCTGGGGAAGCTCATTATTGTTAAAGTGATCCTAATGCCGGGTGATCCACTGTGTTACAGAGCAGAAACTGGTCTCTCATTTTCTTGGCTGTCATCTTTACAAAAGCAAATTGCCAGCCTTTTCTTTTGTGGTGCTGCTGGGTGGGTTTGAACCACTAAACTTTAGGTTATTTGGTGGATGCCAACCATTTGCAACATTTAGAATCCTTCAGTGTCCCAAAATGTAACAGAAATCTCTATCCCATCTCCATATAAGTTATTTCCCCATCTTGTTCAATTGTATGCTGTCAAATTTCCTGAACGAATAGCTGTATGAGCCGCAGCTTCCTCTTTCCAATCACTCACCATCATCACACACTCCCATCAAATACTCTTCCGTTCACCCACTCATTGTGGCTGAACCTACTGTGTTAGTCGGGTTGACTAGTCAAATGAATCCAGAGATGCTCACATGTGTACAAGAGAGAGCTTTATATCAAAGAGCAATTATATATTGAGAAAACATCCCAGCCCAGTCCAGATCAAGTCCGTAAGTCCAATATTAGACCATAGGTCCAATATGAGTCCATAAACTCCTCTTTAGACTCACACTGCACATGCAATCTTGCTGAATATAGGAAGGGCATAGGCCAGTGGGTAGAAGGTCTTGTGGTTCCAATGGAGGTTGAAGCATCTCAACGCTGGCACAGGTCTCCACGTATCTCCTCCAGCTCTCTGAGTGTCTCAACAGCAGGAAAGGGAAGGCAGAGAGTGGGTCCGGCTTCCAGTGAGCTATTTATCCCCCATTGCCTCCAAATGAGGTCATCAATCTGCTACTTGACTGACAGGGTAAACTCCACCCCTTCACTCAAGTTGACAGGAGATTATGTAATGGCCACACCTACACTCACAATCTAGTAACAACCACATAAACTCCGTCGCATCTGGGGTGGTTGGTCCCCCATATCGCTCTAAGATTTTGCTTGTGGTACATGAACCTGGACTTTGTTTATCTCCCTGGATCGCCACTTGATTTTCTGTTTCTTCCTTATCCTATATCATAAAAGTAGTGATTGTTTTCTTGATGATTGTCCTCTGTCCCATTTGTCTTTATCTTCCCATCCACTCCCTCAGCTTCAGCAACTGTCTGAAGGTGAATAGTGTCTGTCTGTAATTTCAGTTCAGATCTTTCTCAAGCCCGCGTCCCCAGAGTACCTCAAATTGACTAAAGCTGCAGGTGAGTGCCCCGCCCATACCCTCATCACATTTTAACTCTGCTCCACTTGGTTGGTCCCTCAGATGACTGTTCATCCTGACATGTCCCTCTCCTTTGTACTTCACACTTTGTAAGTACTTGGACCCTGTCATTTCTGACTCTCCACTGCCTCATGTGTTTACAGCAACACGTAAAAGAAAATTGGCACAGAAATGCTTACAAAGATACCTCCTGGAAGGAGGACACAGCTGGCAAACTAATGTATAAGGTGTCGTTTAATCGTCTAAAATTTACATTATTATTCTTATCGTCCTTTTCTTCCCACTGTGACCTCACCTATCATGTCAGCATGTATGTCTTCCCTAGCCGCTCGAACAGCCCTCTTCTTACATACAAGAGGGAGTCCCCCCCTTAGGGCATAGTCAAGCTATGACCTGCGACCATCATTTTTTTTACTCTTATCATGAGTAACCTGTACTACATAAAATACTGCATCAGATAACTTCCTGCTGTTATCATTCTCCCATGTTCACTCGCCATTGTTCAGCGTGATGATTTGCTGTTCTAAACACTGCCCTATAGCAGGCAATAATGGGAAAAAAACATATTTGACTTGCACTCAGGTTGCTGTCTATCCTTTGGATCATCTCAGCTTAGGTTTAAGAAGTCAGGGTCTTATTTTATTCAGCTGTTTCTCTCCACAGCACTTTCTATGGGGATTTGCACCTTCTAGGTTTACGGTTGAACGAATGACTCTTACTAACAAGATTTTTAAAACCTGGCAGCATTTTTAATGCGTACTTATTTATTTTTCACTTTCACAAATTGGTTTCCGGGGATTTTTCATCCTGTCAACTCTGTCCAGTCATCTCTAGAAGCATGTCGAACATGACTGAAGTGGTGTTGGTGCTTGGAAACTTCTTAGTGACATTATATCCTCCCAGACCCACACTGCAACTGATCTGCTGCTTCTCGTTTCAGGGAGAGCAGAGAAGACAAGAGACCAAAAGGCAGCTTCAGGTAAGATTGTGCCCGGCGTTGTTTCTTGCTGTCGTTTCCACATTTAGAAAATGGATTTGCAAAATACTCACCTAACACAGTCATAGTCCTCAAAGTGATCACTGTCAAATTAATTAAAATGAATTTATGCACTAAGTTTAACACTTTACGTCTCTCAATTGTGCCTTTTTCATCTTGTTGGCACCAATTATAAAATGTGAAAGTTATAAACTGACAACAAGTTTATTTTCCCAAGTGTTTATGAATCTCACTGGTTTTTCATAATGCTAATTATGTAACTCGTGATTCAGCAGTGGTAAATACTTCATTGATATGAATCTTTACAGTTTGCAGGAAGGATGAGACTATTTCCATTCTAAACTCTATGTGTATTCAAATGAACAATGTTATTGTTGTGTACCTTCAAGGTGACCTACACTAGTACTATGTGTCACAGTAGAACTACCTCATTGGATTTTCTAGGCTATAATCTTTGGTGTAAACATGGAGCCTCTCGTGGATTTGAACCATGAACCTTTCAGTCTTTGGCTGAACTCTTAACCTCTGCTCCACCAGGGCTCTTTGCTATCAGACATCATGGTGGTGTTAGGTGATGTCACATTGGCTCGGACTCAGAGGGACCCTATATAGAGGATGAAAACGAAATAAACCGACCACTGCTGAGTCTTTCATCCCCTCCCAAATGTTGTTATCCTTACGCCCATCATCACAGCCACATCGCCAATCCCTCGCCTAGAGGCCTGACTCTGTTTAACGACCCGTTCTACTTTACCATGCATGCCGTCTTTCTCCGGGGAGTGTTCTCTCCTGACAACACGTCCGAAGTTTGTGCAGTGAAGTCTCGCCATCTTTGTCTCCAAGGAGCATTCTGGCTGTACTTCTTCCAAGGCGGAGTGTCTAATTCCAATTGGCCAATGCCAGTCCATTACTGATGCCTGGGTAATCAATTTTTAGTTTCCGTGTGCTCCATTTCATTTTGTGATGACTTTCAATTTTCCTAGATTCCATGTTCCCACTATTAATAGATGTTTGCAGCTATTTCTTCTCATTTTGAGTTGTGCCTCTTCAACAAACGAAGGCCCAGAGGCTTTGTGGCATGCACATCAGTATGATAGACTGTACTTTTAGAAGGCCACCCCTTCTCCCTTGTGTTTTGAGCACCATCTAACATGAGGGGTCATCCTTGGGCACTGGATCTGACAATGCTGTGCTGCTCAATCACCCGTAATGTGGGTCCATAGTTACTGGCTAATATATAAATGATGTAGTGGCATATAAGCAAAAACCAATGGTACTGAAGGAAGAAGCTCAAGCTGCACTGAAAGCATTAGCCATAAACAAGACTCCGGGAATGGATGCCCTTCCAGCTGAAATGATTCAACATGCTGATGGAGCATGGGAGGCACTCACTCATTTAGACTAGAACATTTGGAAGACAGATTCCTGGCCAACTGACTGGAAGTGATGCAGATTTGGACTCATTCCAAAGAAAGGTGATCCAACAGAGTGCACCAATTATAGAACAATATCATCGATATCACATGCAAGTAAAATTTTGCTGAAGATCATCCATCAATGGGTACAGCAGTATATTGACTGTGAGCTGCCAGACAGGCAGGCAGGATTAGAAAGAGGAGATGGAACAAGGGATATCATTGCTGATGTCAGATGTAACTTAGCTGAAATCAGAGAATACTAAAGGGATGTTTCCTTGTGTTTTATTGACTATGCCAAGGCATTTGACTGTGTGGACCAAAAGGGGGAAAAAACAAAAACAAAACCAAAAAAACTATACATAACCTTGAGAAGAAATTCCAGAACACTTCATTGTGCTCATGTAGTACATGGATCAAGAGGCCGTTGTGTAAAAAGAACAAGAGAATACTGCTTGTTTTACAGCCAGGAGAAGTGTGCTTCAAGGTTGTATCCTCTCACCATGCTTACTCAATATGTATGTTGAGCAAATCATCACTGAACCTGGATTACATGGAGAAGAATGTGGCATCAGGATTGGAGAAGACGTATTACCAACCTGTAATATGCAGACGACACAACCTTGCTTGCTGAAAGTGAGGGAAGTCTGGAAGCACTTGCTGATAAAGATCAAGGACTGCATCCTTCCATGTGGATTACAACTCATTACAAGGAAGACAAATAGCCTTACAACTGGACCAATAGGTAACATCATGAAAAATGAATAAAAGACTGAAGTTGTCAAAGATTGTGTCTTGCTTGGATCCACAACCAATGCTCGTGGATGCAGCAATCCAAGGGAACAATGGAAGCTTAGCAGCTACACAAGACTCTTTTAGAGTATTGAAAAGCAAGGATGTTTCCTAAATAAACAGGGAGTGCCTGCCCTAAGCCATGGCATCTTCAATCACCACATAGGCCGGTGGCAGTTGGGCATTGAGTAAGGAAGACTGAAACATTGATCTATGTGAATTATGGAGCTGGCATAGAATATGGAAAGTACTGTGATGGAGTGCCAAAAGGACAAACCAATCTGTCTTGGAGCATTCTCCTGAGAGGCAAGGATGGTGAGTATTTTGGACCAGTCCCCGGGGCAGGACATCATGCTTGGTAAAGCAGAGGGGCAGTGAAACAGAGGAAGGCCCTCAGCGAGATGGTTTAGCACAGTGGCTGCCACAATGGGCTCAACCAGAGGAACAATCGTGAGGATGGGGTAGCACTGGCATTTCTTCTTTCTCTTCTTCATTCAGTTGCTGTGGCTGGGAGCCCATTCTGTGACAAAGAACAGCACCACACTATATGAATACTTTTCAATGTATGGATTCCTATCTTTTCATTAGGGATCAATGCTGGTGCTATGGCATGGTTTTACTTTTAAAAATGTGTACGTTTCACCCAGGGATGGGAAACCTTTTTTCCGCCTACGGCCATTTGGGTATTTTTAATATCATTAGTAGTCCAGACTGGTCAAACATTGAATCAACTCATTCCTTCTGTGATGACTGTAACTAGCTGTTCTCGGTAAGGCACACGTTAGCTTGTTATGGTTTGGAGGACCGTATATGGTCTGGGCCTGATGTCCCCATCCTTCGTGTAGTATGTTATTCACTTCCCAGTAAATCTCTGCATAGTGCCAATCTCCCAACTTCCCGTTCCCCTTCGATAATTCTATGTGGCTGTGTTGGGGAGGAACGACTCGGGATGGCTCTTTTATTCATAGTCTGTAACTCCGCCAAATGACTGAGTGGGATCCCGCCTGAAGGACTCCAAACAAGGAGATGAGCCAGTTTTGCCATGCTAAGTGAACCCTTTCAAAGGCAGGAAGAGCACGCACAGCCCACCAAAAAGAAGGGCCAGTAGTAGAATGGGTGCGTGATCCCTGTGTGAAGTGGTGGTGACAGCAGAGGCAGCAGAGGCCACAGCACGGAAGCCTTGAGACAGACCAAGTCAAACTAAGTGCTTTGGGCCAGGAGGCTGGATTGCAGTGCAGGGTACTCTTGGGGATCTGTCAGCCCGAAAGAGCTTGGCAACCCCAAGGGAAGAAGGGAAGAGGCCTGGAGGGCATGTGGCAGAGAGGTTGAGAGCCAGAGAGAGGCGTGGTTAAGAAGCACTGAGAAAAAAAGAATTGTGTCTTGAGGTGTTTTGATTCTTACTTGTGGCTCAGTACCTTCATAACCACGGTATTGTTAAGTTCTACGCGGCTGTTTCCATGGATCCCAGAACCCAGCTGAAAAGCAGAGTGCCGCAGGAGGGACAATTGGTGTCAGAATATGACAAAGCAGGTTGGTGGATAGAGGGTAGTTATCATCCTTGGACAGATGTGGAATTGTTTTCTCCCCTTCCTTGGGTAGGGGGAGGAAGCCAGACGTGACCCTTAGGCATGTTCTCTCTGGTATACCCCTATAAATGCACCACTCCTCCCAAGACATCACGAACCCACTGTTCCTGTTACTTTGAAAACCACCCATGTAAAGACACACCACTCTCGACAACTCTCCACTTTCAACTTCATTTCTTTTGTCTGGTGAATAAGAGATTACATCTATTTTCAAATCGTGTAGTCAACAAAGGACAAGAACCTATATCAATAAAAAATTATATAAACAGCTTAAACGTCTATCTCTTTGCTCCTTCGCAGCCTTGCCATTCATTTCAAACCACTGGACAATTTAGTTTGTGCACACCTAACCTATTCAACATTATGGTTTGCATTGTCTTTGTGAGTTTTTTAAAAACCTATTTGTGACTACGAACACAAATTTAAAGTCTGTAGATTTCAAATAAGAACTCTACTGAGATTGCAATTCTTTTATCTCATTGGAAGACTGACTCATATTTGGTTCATGGAATGTGTGATATTAATAAGCAACCAAGTATAAAATATAAAGAAGACTTTAATGGAGAGATCCTGCATAAATGATTGTTTATAAAAGATATATTAGAAGACATACTGTGGTAGACTATAGAGAAGTCATTTGTCAAGTATATATTGTTCCAAATTTTCCAAGAAGGAGAACACATTCGAATGCAGTGAAGTATATAATATAAAATAAAGAGTAGGCTCCATCAGCCAGAGAGAGGTGTTATCTGCAGAGATCATAATGAGGATTTCTAAATGAAGGTGCCTCATTTTCATATATGACACCAAAGCAGCCCTGAAGTTAGATAATTTTGCTCACTTGCTCACTTGCATAATTTGAAAAAGAGGCACTTCAGAGAAGAACAATGTTCTTTTTTTTCTCAGCTCAAAAGGTGAAATTTATTATTGGAAATTCAACAAATGGTAGAACATCTGCTTTGCAAGCGCCTTCTCTCCGTGTTAACTTTTGGTTGGGCTTTTCGCCCTTTTGAATTGTTCTGAAACAACAGTAACACCTCTATTTCAAGTCAGTTCAACACACATGGAACATGCAGTCTTTCTGGATTGAAGAAGATGACGGAAGAAGTTAAATGCCAGATCAATTCATTAGTCTATGGCTAGCATGCTCACTTCTTCCATTTTATTCATTTAGTTGGCTGCAAACTTC